TCAGTTGCTTCTGGCTGTCTGTGTCAGTCGTAGCCTCAGATTCTAGGGTGCTTTCTATTAAGTTTAGTTTCTCAAGGATTTTAAGACCTTCTTTTGTGTCCTTCATAATGTACTGCTGTTCTTGATGCACGAAGATAAATTTAAAAGGAAAAGCCCATGTGTACTTTACACTTGCTTCTCTGAGAGATGCTGTAATTTCACTCAGTTCTTCCTTCTCTTTAATGTTGCCTGGGACAAGTCTTGAAATACTCACATTTTATATGCTTCAGGAGTAGGATCAGAAGTCTCTCTAGCCTTCTTCAGGATCTGCTCCTTTTATTCCAAAAAGAGCAAACATAGTGTCATGTCTCTTGGTTTGAATTGAGGGGAGTGTAGCAAGATCTGTGCACTCTGTCTACAAGGATGGTTGTCTGTATTTGCGGCTGTAGGAAGGAGTACTATACCTGCTTTAAATATTCTGCTGAATCTCCCTTCTTCACACCTTCTGGGATTCCTCTTATTCTTACCTTATTTCTTTTCTCGTGGCTTTCTATAATCTCACTTTTCTCTGCGAAGTCTTTTTTTCTTTCTTTTTCCTCAATCATCTTAATCTTTTTTTGAAGATTTACTACTGATTGCAGGGTTCCCCCACTTTTATCCCCAGGTCTGTGACCCTGCTCCCAATCTCTTTTATTTCTGCTTTGATTTTATCAAGCTGTGCTTCCATAGAGGATTTTAAAGGTCTGATTTCTGGGATTAATTCACCAAAATCCTCTCTGTTTTGTCTTTCTCCCTCTGCTCGGCCTGTTCTGTTTCCCCCTGCAGCACCCACCTTTGATTCTGCAGACCTTGTGAGCTATTCTCAATTAAGATCTTCTGGCAAGTTTCTTCTTGGGAAGCAGCTTTTCAAGCTGTTCTTCTTATGTGTGGAACACAATCTACAAATGGGGGAAATGCTTTTTGGGACTTAATGTAAGAGGATCAGGGAGCCATAATGTTTGTGGATTGTACAACCTTCTCTCATGGAGGTCTACCTTCAGAGAGCCACCTGCTCTGGTAACATCATGCAGCCCCCCCCCGATGTCATACATCTTTTATGTGTTCATTCTGCCATGTATGTTGATAGAAGCTGGGAAGTCAGACAATTTAGGAGCTTGAGAAAGTCAATGAGGTCACTATACCGGCAAAAAAGTTGTAAAAGCTCACCAGGTTGATTGTTCAAACCATCACAGGTCTTTTTCATAAGAGAACAGATATAACCTTATAAAATTATTATAACAACATCATTTATTTCAGCAGGACTGAAGCAAAGTGGAGTTATGATGGTGTTTTATGTGCTACGTATGTACTATAAATATTTCCATAAAATCATGCATTAAAATATAAAGTAGGCAAAAAGAATCAGAAGTCAGGGGAAAATAAAGCATGCAGTTAAACAAACATTATGGGCACAGGCCCCAGAATACGTAGCAATAATGACCCTGCTGGTCTTGGCAGTAGGCCTTTCCAATGGGTTTTCAACTATATCAGCAGCAAAGTGCGAAGAGCAAAGATAAAGGCCAGGTTACTGACAGGGAAGATCCTTGATCGGGGGGAGCAAAATGCGGCCCAGGGGCTAGATGCAGCCCGCCAGGCCATTCTATCCAGCCTGCAGGGCCCCTAAAAAATTTAGAAAATTAATATTTATCTGCCCCTGGTTGCCTGTCATGCGGTCCTCAATGGCTTGCCAAAACTCAGTAAGCAGCCCTCTGCCCAAAATAATTGCCCGCCCCGTCCTTGATACTCATTCACCAGTGCAGAAGCATGTAAGACCAGACAAAGCATTTTTCACTATATATATGTCGTATTTCATCTCTCTTATTTGCTCAGTGGTGATGCTGAGGTATCGACATTCCCCCCTGCCCCATATTCCTTTTCTTGAATAATGGCACGATACAACTTAAAAGTCCCCATCCAAGATCAGGACCTCATCCTGATGGGCGCTGTACACACAGATAATAAGAAATAGGTCCTGCTATTAAGCCTAGAGTCCTAATAGACAAGAAAAATGAAAGAAGAAGCATTATTTCCATGGTAGGGAGAGGCTGCCAAGGAACAGTGTAGGTAAAGTAACTTGACCAATGTCCAAGAGTGAGTTCTGGCAGAAGCAAGAGGTGAATCCCGATCTTCTGTGATCCAGCCTAAAGTGTTAATAACAGGAACATTCAAGTCTGGAGCTTGCATTTTCCTGGTATTTGGAGATTCCCAAATTTGTTTGTATGAACCCTGCCAAATCCAAAAAATCCCTTGACTTTTGCATAGACTTTATTACTGTTTTCAAAGAAACACTCTCAAGCTATGGCCCATGTTCTGCAAAAGAGAAAACTAGCCCATCCCTTCTGGACATAAGACATATAAAGACAAGCCCTGCTGTGTGTCTTTTTCCTGGAGCCCCCTCTGGTTCCAAAGATGCCTTGGTCTGTTAAGTATGAACACAAATGGAGAACTTTGCAGTCTGGCTGCCAGAGAATAAATGGGCATCATTCACACCCACAAAATACCCTGAGAACACAATGCTGTTCCCCAAGCAAACTCCAATGCAAATGCATCTTAACCAAGCTAACTTGTCAGATCAGTTTGTCTACAAATATGTTCACACTTGAAAATCTCTCCCTGATGTGAGCCAGCAATCCATTAAACATGCATCTCTCCGTTTCCCCCATCTTGCTCTTGGTACACCTTTTTCCTCCTTACATAAAATAAATATTTTTCCTTTGTCCCCAGTAAATGCCTATTCCACATTTTTGCATGTTTTAAATATTCACGCATATGAAAAGAGGCTGTAAAAACAGTGCATGGCTTATTTATTATTTAGTGTACACACTCCCCCCCCCCGAATGCCAAAATAAAAAACATTTTAGTCAATTTTTTTGCATTTTCTCTGCATTTTATTTCCATTAGTCTGCTCGTTAAAGTTTAAAAACTGCTTTGTTTCTCGACAGTTAAGATTTATACGTCTGCCTGTCGGGGGATATATTTGTACTTGTTGACATGATGGGAGAGGTGGGGGCAGGGAATTGTGTGCTTGTCATACAGGGTTCCAGTGCCTATCTAGAAATCTTAAGTTATACCAACTTGGTCACCAGAGGGGTTTGAAGAATTCAGTTCAGAGATCCAACACATACTAACTCTGATCTGTGAAACAGCTCTGAGTTCGTATACAAAGCCTACAGCTATTAAAATGGCATGCAGGGAGGCATTTCGTTGCCAACAGCACCATCTCTAGAGGAAATATCTACTACATGTCAATCCATCCAGTCAGAAGTCACTAAGGACTTGATTAATAAGTTTTAAGGTCAAATGAAAAAAGAGATAATTTAATGCAAACTCTTGCAAAACATGGGCCCAAGAGCCTCACCCAATCATTTCTGCATCAAGCCTACAACTTTTGTTTGAGCTATGCTATATCTTTTGGAAAGACGTCCAGTCTACACTTGAAGGGGGCTAGTGTTGGCAAATCCATCCTGTGTCTTGATACATTGTTCCAATTGCTCATTATCTTTGCTGTCAAAGATATGTACCTTTTCTCTGTCACCCTTGCTTGGGCAGCAAAATATCTTCCATTTCAAGCCATCCCTTTCACTCCTGGGGACACTCAGAGAAGGTGGCTCTCTTCAGCGCATGGCGAGTCTGGGCCTTATTCATTAGCCTGTGCCCTTTTAAGCATCCACATTTTAGGAGTAATTCATTACGCTAGACATATGCTCTGAAATGAGTTGGGAGAGCACTAGATAGCAAAGCCTGCCATCCAATGGGTCCACACCAGGCAAGCTTACAAAAGTGCTTCAGCTGTGGCCTGAAGGACTTATGAAAAGAGAAGAGCCCATGAGATACTCAGCAGTCACCCTTTTGCTGACATACCTAACCAGAGTACCAGATGCAAGGGCAGTGTTTGCAACTTGGGCACCTTTCCATGAACAACTGGACTAAGACCAACAACTCTTTTAATATAGGTCACTCAACAGCCATAACCACCGACATTGCCTGGCTTCAAAAGACTGACCGAGTACAAAAAGACCTGGATTTTGTAACGAATGCCAAAAAAATGGTGTAAGAGGGGAGGGGGGTTGGGTGCGCATGTTTTTTTTTTAACATTAAAACATACCGGGATCTGATTGGCAAGTGCATGCTCCATATGATACATCCTTGCTTGCGATATATAGCAAAATATTTCAAAGAAAGAGACAGCTAGACTTTAATGTATTTATATACCCGGTCATAGCACACAGGCCAAGTAGCACCTCGTGAAGCACCTGGTACATTGTTGCTGCTCTACAAACATTGTGTTATTACAGATTATCTCACCTTGGCAAGGAGACAGACTGAGTGACATCAAATGTCTTTTATGTTGTTTTATTTAGGCTTCCATGGTTTTTGTCTCCCCATGGACTCTGAGCACGCTTTTCATCTCTGATTTGAGGATACATAATCTATGTGCAACTGCAAACATTAACAAACTGCAAAGAGGAGTCTCATTCTTTTCTACCTATATCACTGTAAATCAGGAATAACTCCACTGAGCTCAGTCAGGCTGTACTGATGGAGAAGCAGTGGGAAAAGAGGATTTTTCATGATTATTCCTTATGGATTTTTAAGTCTAAAGCCAGGCAGGCATTACTGGCTTTTCTCAGGAAGGCACCTTCACACATGCCATTAATGTGCCAGCATCATTGCACGCTCTATAATGCTTTGTGACATCATTTACACAACACTATCACCTTAGTAACAGTCATAATCTGTAATTTGGAGGCAGCTAAAAAATTCTGCCAACCCAGCCCAAGTGGCCCTGGGGTATATTTGGTTTTCTTTATGATGCAAGTATGACTTATGTCACTGTGACTAAGTGACAATACAGTGTCACAGCTAGGGTGGCCATCATAGAGGACATTCCGGTTTTCTGCTACTCTGTCTCTGTCCTCTGTTGATATGAAACCGGACACCTTTACGTCCTCTATTTTTCTCTTTCTTCAAGAGAAAAATAGGGGACATAAAGGTGTCCAGTTTCATATCAATAAAGGATAGAAGACAACCGGACTGTCCTATATGGTGGCCACCCTAGTCACAGCACTTCCCCCTAAGGTCAGGAAGACTTGGCTGATTTGGGCTGTTAGTGCGGCTCTGAAAACCAAGAATTAGACTCCTGAGGTCAAGCATCATCTGAGGGGAGGAACCGAACAGCAGGGAGTTTACTGCGTGAAGCATTTTCACATGAGAACTAAAAGTCAGGTGAGAAGGAAAAGGCCCCATTGCTGTAGGAAGATTAAAAGACCCTGGGGAACAGCAGGATTTTGGCCTTGTGTCTTATCCAAAATACTCTTTCACCATTCTGCCTTGCCACATGAACCTGTACTCCAAGATGCTTTACACTCTAAAGAGTTACATGGCAAATGATGTATAGGGAAGTAGGTGTGGAGTTAATCTATGGAGTGGGATGCCAGGATCTCTGGACAGTTATGCCGCTGTGATCAGTGCCTGCCTGTGTACTTCAAGGTCCCCATGTATAAGTGGAGACAATGGGGGTGGCATATGATTGACTCAATTTGCATTTCAGGGTGAGAGTGTGATTAAGCTGTTGGACTCAAGCTCAGATCTAGGCTCATTGGGACCTTGTGACTCACTGCTGCACTGCTCTTGCACCGGTGAGGTCCCGAGGGGGATGCCATGGATTCCACAGGACGCAGAATCAGACCTTTACCCTCTTAGTGCCTCCATCTCTAGTCTGACCAGTGGGAATAACAATCCTTCCTTCCTCCGTCGCTTTGACTCGTCTAGTTTAATCGTAAGCTTTCCAGGGCAGGCACTGTCTCATATCATGTGTTCATACAAAGAGACCACTGTAATATAAATAATAATAATAGTGAAGTGCTTTCCAGTTTTCAGAGGAAAGGCACTACAGAGCGGCAAAGCATTTCATTATATGGCATATATATATTAGAGGAGTAAATACTGTAAGGGCAGGGAAGAAGCTGGGGTGATATAGGCAGGCAGAGAGCACAGAGTAACACAAAGAGTAGGATTCTGGAACATTTCAGTATCCTGTTGACTCGTAAGATTGGAGCAGACAGGTACAGCCCAAAGACAGCATGATATAAATGCGGGCCAAGCTCTAACACACAGCAGGAATGTCTAATTTTAGGCCGTCCAGTTTTGGCAATGTCACCTTTAATTGCATGGCTCATTTGAATTGTAAAACACCTTTAAATGCTAACTAGTAAAAGGAAATAGGCCATATTGTAGAGTAATAGTCAGATTCAATTTTAACAGCAACAAAAATGGTTTTAAAGGGGTAAGAGTCTCAAAGATTGAGAGAGCAAATGGGAGACCCATTTTCCAAATAGGGGCATGGATTTCTCAGTGTTTTTGCCCTGATTCCATTCAAACCCCCTTTGTGTCTGTGTTTGTGCAAATGTTAGACTTTGATCGGAACATTTTTACATGTTTTACTAATTTTCAATACTGCAGGCATGAGTTTGCTGGGGACTGAATTTGAAATGTGCATGGGCACAAGTTTCCACTACTGCACTCAGCACAAGGAATTACAAGCTTTCAGCAATGATTAGTTCCTATTTGGGTGCCAAAGGGAATCAGTGGGTGTTCAGAAGCACCAAGTAGTTAATCATTCCCATTGCAACCCTCAGCCTCATTTTTAAAGGAGCTCCATTCTCAACCTGCACCCGGCTACCTGGCTTGCTAGAATCTAACCATGTATTTGGGTGCATTTGTGGGAAATGAGTTCTGAAAATAAACCCTTGGCTCTACTGAAGTAATTGGAAGCTGCATCATTAACCTCAAGATTTTACATCAGGATTTACTACTGTGCACAATGGGCTATTTGAAAAATTTGGCCCGCTGTGATTTAAGTATCAAAGCACAAATAAGCAACAGATAATTTACAGCAAACTGCTCATCACCAGCCCAGGGAAGCAGCGTACCGGAGGGAAACCTGGCCAATACATTCAAACAATAAATACATTGGAGACAGAATCAGACACCAAACCCTTGTATCGACATGAAGACTAGACCACTCTGGTCTAAGTTCCTTTCCTTGTTCAACAGAAACTGATTGTGGCTGGCTCTGCAAAACCATGCTCCAGCTTGGAGCGAGAAGGTCAGAGAGATACTATCTGTGCATAAAAAGGTGGCAAGAAAAGTGCCACAGAGCTTCAATAAAGGCAAAATCCAGCTGAGCCAGTGTGTGCATTTATGTTGGGGGGGAGAGACAACACTTTAAAACTTTGCCATCAGCCTACCCCTACATTGACCCCCCCACACACCCCATTTCACATAGGAAGGGGCTCTTTTTGCGGTTGCCGTGATTGTGTTGCGTTTATAATCTATCACATCTTCCTAGAGAAATAGCTCTTTGACTCCCTCTAGAGATATTTGTGTGATCCATACAAATGCAGGACTCTGCATTTCACTCTTTTTTTGCCAGCATACAGTCAACAGGCTGCCAGCTTTGTCTGTCCTCTTTGGGCTGTTTACTTCCCCCTAGGATTTTCTAAACCACTTAAGGCTGCACAACTGAGGTAGTAACACACTGAATGGACTAGCTGCTGACAGATCCACTGCTTCTTGCTCGTATTTGTATGCCAAAAAATAGCCTCTCTAATTCATGATCTGTCTGGAGTCAGGAATACCTATAATACTTAGTCACTACAGCACTATGTAGACTTCCAGTAGTGCACCTACAATCATAAAGAAGCAAAGAAATGAAATGTATAAAAATGCATGTAATAATATTATCCACATTTTTTTAAAGTTCAGTTCACGCATCGAAGTTTCAGGTTGGTTCTGGGCACATTAACCCTCCTAATGTCTCTGGGAAACAGTAAGATCACATACAGTATCCTACCAGGGCTCGGACAAAAAAATGGCATCCTGCTAGAGAGGTTCAGGTTTGGAAGTGAGCCCTGGCTCTGCCCCTGGCTTGTTGGACAGTGTGGGCTTGTACTCCCCATACTGGTATCCATGTTACCACAGTTTCAGTCACTGCTATCCAGAATAGCTAGATTAGTGTGGATATACCTACATGAGTTTCACTCGCACTTCTGAGAATAGTGTTACCATGCCCTGTACTTCAGGCTTAGCACAGTGGATCCCTACTCTTGGTCCGGGTCTCTAGATGGTACTATTATACAAATAATAAAGGAATCCTATTCCTGAAGAATTTATTCTCCTCATCTGCCTGTTATCAGACTTGCTAGTTTCTTACATCTATTTTGTATTTGGAATTATTCTGCAGCATTTATTTTGGCTACTATTTAACTCTTTATCTTATTATTTGGCCCATGTTATTTAATTATAATTAATCACATATGCAGTGCAACCCTGTCTTTAGTTTTGTGATTGGATAAGCAAACTGCTTGTAATTGGGGGTCCACAGCATGTGTTTGTGGAGAACAAATTTACACATTAAATTTAAAATTTTCTCTCTGCAAGTATTTAAATGTGTAAGCAAACATTGCCTTTTCAGAAATATTCATGTTAGTAAATCTCAGTCACCTATATAGTTATGGAAAATGAATATAGCAAATGACTGAATGCAAAGGGAAGATATTTGCAAATTGAAAGACTAAATGGGAGCTTGTTTTTTGCAGAGCTAAATTAATACTAGATAGAGTTATACTGAAAATGCATTCCTCTTGCAACCAAGTCATCATCAACCAAGGTAGCAAATATTGTTGCATCATGGGCAACTTATTGTTGATTTTCAATCCCAAATGCAAATGCTAAGAGCAGACCATCCCAAATTTTGTAGGATAAATTAAGCTGCAATGACATTTTGCCTTATCTTTCCATCTGGCTATCCGAAGGTTTTCTAAGATGCTGTTATACTGGTGGCTTGTGCTGCACTGACCCACAGTTCTTCATGCCTTCTAAGATATTGTTTTACTTTTGTGTAGCTGGGCAAAGGTCCTTCTTCATCTGGACAGTGAGTAAAACATCAGGTTCATTCAAAGCCCCTTTGTGAGATGCTGAAAAGCTGTTAAACAGAAGGGCCTATGGCAGCAGCATTACACTGGGAAAAGCTAAAGTCAAATGTCTCTCCTCTGAAATATCCAAGACAAACAATAACAGGAAACATCCAGCATACTGTGCTAAGGCTTTGAAAAGACCCTGCCATAAACATTATGAGGGAGATGGTGAGGCAATGTGGAGTGGGGCTTTTCCCAACTCCCCAAGCCCCTTTTTCACACCAAGAGCACAATGGTGCCAACTCAGTGAGCACAATAAAGAGCCTCGCTAAGTGCACAGACCAGCATTTGCACTCCGTCTAAAACTGGCTTGTTAATGACTTTGTGTCAAAACTGAAATGCTGAAAAAAAAGAAGAAAAAAAAGAAAAGAAAAATCCATGCTGGTGATAGCCCATAAAATCTGTGACCAATTTAACAGCTCTGTCAAGGTAAAGAAAAAAACTTGAGTGAGCTTTACCAGGTCAACAGCCTGCCAAAATATTAGCTGGAACACTTGAGAAACTTTTTATTTCATATACCACATATATAAAGGTGAGAGAGACCCCTAAAAACAGCAGTGACAGAGGCAGGAGTACATAGTACAAGGCAAAGCTTTAAGAATGGAAATATTTGAATCATGCAGCCCACTGGGTTCACTGAGACTTTTCACATGCTTCCAGTTAGGAGGCTACTCAAATGAGTAAAGTGATAGAAGGAAAAGGTTTGCACAGTTTGAAAAAGGGGCTAATATTACAAGGTATGGTCACCTCACTATATTATAAAGCAGATTAGGAAATACCCACACCAAATTACAGTCCTTGTTGGTGAGATGCATTTACACACCACATCACGGACTGTACAGTTGTTGTGCCTCTTTATCCATGATACATGAGACTGAGACTGGCATTTAGGCATGTGGAGGCTGGCAGGAAGCCTGGCATCCACATACCATTCAGCCCTTGCATTTATGTCAATATTACACTGTAGAGAGCCAGTTGGTGCCAAATGAAGTGTAGATCTGGTGATCCATCTACCAGCAAACACCAGTAGACTGGGCACCACTGGGTATCAGACAGGGAGTGCATGAGGCTCAATAAATCATTTTTAACCAGTTATTATTCTGGTCTCGTTCTGTTTGGTCATGCCTCGGTAATGTTCTTAAGCATATCACTTTACTCACTTGAGAAACCTTCAAACTGGAAGCACATGAAAAGTCTCAGTGAACTCAGTGGAACTACCTGCATGCTTCAATTTATTTCTATTCTGAAACACTTTGCTGGATGGGACTTCTGTGAATTGTCCACCCACAGGGCACACATTTCTCAATTTATTTATTATGTGAATGATTATGCAGATACCATCTGTTAGTTATGTCTGGTCTTTTCTTGAAAGTTGAAATCTGAAGTATTTTCATACTTATTTTCATATTTTCATACTGTGGTGTCCAAGGCTTGCTACAGTATTCTAGGTAGAGTAAATCCTATTCTTTCCCTATTAGTCTAATGAGTGATTAAAAAAAGGAGGGTGAGAAATGGCTAGGCAATTATGATACAGAATATGGAGGGGAAAAAAATTAAAGCAATGCATCCTTGGACGGTAATTTAGAGAATTTATTAGTCACTTAAAACCTTGATGACTTATTCTCATGGCAAAGGCTGTAATAAGAAGAGAAAATGGCAAAAATAATGAACATGTTTGCATGACAGAGATTGTAACAAGAATGGGAAATGACAGAATGCTCCTTTGGAAAGATCTGACTTCATAATTACAATCATATGGATATCTTTAATGTCATCATTGGGGTAATTTATTGTTAATTTTCTCTTGGAACCATTTACATTAAAAATACTTGCATTTTATCTTTTAAAACAAACACATCTCTTGTCTGCAACTACATGAATGGCCAGCCATGGCACAAAAAGTTTTGTAAGGAAACCAGAATTTGATTCAATGCAAATCCAGTTCACATAGGCCAGGTTTGCAAGCATGATTTATAGTTTTTGGAGGGCCTTGCCAAACTAAGCCATTTCAAATGCATTTTATTTATTTTTTCTCTTTGGTGGTTGATTTGTTTTTAAAGGAAAACAAGGCAGATGGTCTGAGTGTTTCACAATGAAAAGAAATGGCTGCATTTCGGTAATACCAAAGGCAACAGGTTTGAATTCTAAATCAGTAAAAATGCTTTTAAAAAAGCAACAACAATATTGGTCCTTCAGAATACAGACTGGGATTATCTCCTTTCCCAAATGTAATAGTTAACTATCAGCTCTTGGAATATTAGATTTACTGAACAGCGTGCTGCAAGCGCCAGTACTGTAGTCACAGAAATGTAGCTTGATGGATTTGAAGCTTTCCTTGTGTCCTTGGCAGTGGCATAAGCTTCGGAGTTGGGGTTGTGTTACAAGTCAAAGCAAAAGAGATTGAACCCTGAATGGGTTTGGGGGTCAGGACCTGCTCCAGTAAAAGGGAGACCCACCCCTGCAAAGGCTGGGCAATGACTTTGTACAGTATCTGGAGTTACTGCATTTGAAACGCCATGGGGGGTGGGGGGGAAGATCTGAATTAGATCCTGCAGATTAAATTTCTGAAGCAGAAACAAGATACTCCTGAAACCCCACCTGCTAACAAGCTCTGAGCATAGCTAATTCTGGGGCTAGCATTTAGTGTATCGCTTCCACCTGCAGTGCTGTTCCCTCCATCCACCTTTCTGTCCCCAGACATGGGGGGTTTTTTATTTGTCTGCCAGGAGACAGTCTCAGTGTCTGATCCACATTTCAGCCGACAAACAAAAAAATAACCACAAGCAGGAGGACAAGGGACCCTCCATAACTGTATATTCTGGAACACACACTGCAGCTTCGCCCTGCTCAGTGACAATTTCCCCCCATTCAGCGTGTCGGAGCTCATTCAATTCCCCAGCCAGCCAACCAGCCAGCCAGCATCCTGACAGGCGTGTGAGTAACGCCTATGTGTTACGAGATTTATTTAATGGGTGTCTGATGAGCTGACGGGGAGCTAGGGTCCTCCCAAAGCCAGGACATCATCTCTGCCAGGAATAAAAATCAGCGAGAATGGGAGGACTTGATAGGAGCAATCTGTTAGCAGAAAATTGAGCTGTCACCCTTGCGTGTCATGTTCATTTTGGCTGATTAAAGAGATATTAATCTACTGTCATCGTTAAAATATCTGTCATCCTGGGGAGAAGAAAAACACAGAGATACTGTATTCAGGCTGCTCCTCCAGATACATACAAACACAGAGACACAGAGGGAAAGGAGAGGTGTGCAGAATATTAACGAAATCCTGATCCCTCAGAAATATTGAGCCAGCTAGAATTGATTATACTTACACTTATACAGCAAACAATAGATGCCACTTCAGGTAATGAGCCATTTTGGTTGGGGCTGCCTACAGTTTTAAGGGCACCAGATGGATATTTTGCCTTTGCAGGATACAACCTTGTTTACCAATCTGTAAAATGGGTTTGAAAATGCATCACAATTTCCCATAGGCACAGAAAGCCTAATAAAATGAATGTTGCTCAAGCCCTTTGAAATCATTTCTCATTATTTCAGCTGGATAATAATGAAACTTCAGTTGCTGCCTTTTTTTTCAAGGGACTGTCTGAAAACATTTCCTTTGGGGAGGGGCTGGAAGCACAGGGTCAAGCAGGAGCAAAGGGCACTATGGAAAGTGTAGCACTCTAGGATTTCTGGATTGGAGACTCACTGTGCTAGGCACTGCACATACAGACACGTAAAGTAAAAGGGCTGTTCCTATTGCAGAAACAAGAAATAGTGACATACTCCTCAGTCAGCAAGGTAGAGATAAAGCCTGTTTCCAATGCCAGCTGGGTTCTGGTTCATTGGCATAACTGCTGACAGACAGCTCAATCTGTAACAGTGGCTGCTAGGGACACCCAGTCCAGGCTTATAGGGTAAATACTGGGCTATGCCAGTTTGGGGCATAAATTGGATGAGAGGCATTAACTATCAGGGCTGTTAAAGCTAATCCAGACTGAATAAGCAGGACTGGCCCCACTCCCTCAACAAAAGATTAGAAGCCAGTACCTCACGCAGGCTCATCTGGGCTCTGCCACTGACTTCCCTTCACGGTCTTGGGCAACTCGCAGTACTTTTCTCCTCTCATCTTCCCACTCTGTCAAATGACATTAATGCCCCAGAGGTAGTTAATACATTTCCAGTGAGTGAGTGCTTGGGAGAGGCAACCAAGGTATTTGATAAGGAAGAGAGAAATGCAGTATGTCAGGAGCACAGCAAGTAAGGGAAAGTATAAGGGAACTTTTTTTTATAGTGAATTCCCTACAAAATTATAATGCTCAATATGGCATTTACTTTATCTTTACCAAGGCTTCCTCAAGAATATAGCTTCAAATACTACTGACTTTACTCAAACCATTCTTTTAAATATCAGTTCCATAGGGGAATGAGGATGGGATGAGATTTATAATAATCAATAAAGAGCAAACACTTAGCCAGATAGAGTTTTCTTTTTCCAAGAACCAAATTCAATCCAGGCATAATCCAACTCAACTCTAATTGGCTGTAGTTTTAAATCTCCAGTACATATGGTTAAAACCAGAGCAACTTCAAAAAGAGAGGAGTTCACAGACCTCAAAGTGGATTTCTATGAGCAGTCTCTTTCATACAGGGGGCAAAATTGCTAGGGCTTTTCTAAAGAGCAGCTTCATTAAAGGGAGAGTCTTAATTAATATGAACAAAAATGTCTCAGCTCAGCCCAGTCATTTCTTTGTAGGAATAGTCGTAAAACCTGAAAAGCCCCAGGAACACCCTAGTAAAAGTGAACCGGTAGTTTTACTGAAATTCAGATGAGAAAATAGGAACTACAGAACCCCTGGTGCCATCTCAATTTTTACTGTGCTCCTGCAACTTTACATTTGAATCAATAACTATTTTAATACAGGGAGTTTAGAAAAGTTTGATTCAAATTCGTTTGACACAGTTCCATCAACCTCCAGTTATAGAGCCATTCTGCATATGACTTATTAAATATTTAAAAGATTTCTATTATTGAATTAACTATTTATTGATTTATAATTTAAAAGATTTATGCTTGGCCATTAAAAAAATTCCAAACTGACTTTCACTTAAAGAGATGTCAGGTGCCATTTGCTGCTAGTGAATGTCTAATGTACCCTTTTCACCCCCGGAGTGAAGAAAGGACAATTACTCAAGGACCTCTGGTTCAATATTCATACTGTTTAGATGCTGAGGTCTGTGGCTGCTTTTTTTCCCCCGGCATTAGGTCATGCTCGGCAGCTTCTATCCATCCCACAAAATCTCAGCTATGGTGGAAATGCACAGCTTGTAGTTTCTCTCTTGTTACATTTATTGATTTGCATCCTGGATGAATTTCACCACCTTTTGTGCAAGTCGCTTATTGTATTTGCATTGCGACGACGCTTGTTCTGGAATCATGAGGGCACAAGCACGCACACACGTGGCCCCCCAGCCCCCACTTCTCTTTTATCAGTGCAGTGATAGGCTTCCAATCTGTAAAACATTGAAGTACATGAACAGTCATGATGGAAATTATTGTGCTACTTAAAGTTAAGAGTGAATTCAAGTGCTCTGCTGAATTGGGGCCACAGAAGTAACAATCTATCCTTAACATGTTTAACTCTAACTCCTGACTTTAACTTCAACCCTGCAACGTAAGGCCCCGCTTTCAAGCAAATTCAAAACAGCCTCTAAGAAAGAGCTGGAGCAAATAATAATAAATTACCTTTCCTGAGCACCTTTTATCTGAGGCTCACAAATTGCTTTACCCACATTAATTATTTAAGTATTGAGAACAGCCTCAGGGGGAACTATTACCACGGTACTCATTTTCCTAACAACTAACCTAAGAACCAGGGAGGTTAAGTGACTTGGCCAAGGCTACAAAGGAGTCAGTAGCAGAGATGGAAGCAGACCACAGGAGTCCTAACTTGCATCCTGCTGTGGAAACTAGCAGTCCCAATGGTGTCAGTGAATGTATTTGTCACAAGAGAGGAGAAGAGGCCAAGCTGGAATGCATGCCGAAGTATACAGCCTTAAGTGCATTGCCAAGTACAAGCAGAAGTAATGACTGGATTGAAAAAAAGCGCATGTGAGTAAAATTTTTGTACACAGCTAGTAAGGGTCTGACTCAGATAAGGATCTATTCTTGTTTATTTTACTTCTGACTTTGGGGACCCAAACTTTAGTGATACACATTTTTCTACAACCGTTCCCTTGGCTGCACATCAAAACCACCCAGGGTAATTAGCACAGATCTGTCAGACAAAACTACAACAGAGTAATGTGTGATACTTTGGAAATCGCTGCTCCAGCTTCTCCAATCAGTGAATTATAAATAATGATTCTCTGCATTGGAAAGAGTTCCTACTATAAATAGCAACTATTTTAAGACTCCCATGTAGCCTTCCTTAATGGCATTGCTGTGGGATAGGGATTAACCTTAGGAAGATAATTATTGGAATATCAGACAAAAAATTATGACTAAGTGTATTAAGACTGACATAATAGGGAAAACAAGGGATTATGGGGCTAGAAAAAAGAGAAGCTCATTCCAGTATGATATTACCACAGGAAAATACTTTAAAATATATATATATAAATATTGTACTTGCTGTCACCCAGCAGTTTGATTTTGCTCAGCAGTTCATATGCTCAGGATCTATACTGCACATGCTTTACTTGAGAAAAGCATACCATCAGGGATATTTCAGGTCCTCTGTCTCTTGTTGTACTTCTTGCTTCTTTTCTACCTTCCTCTTTGGCAAGATGGATGTCAGGGGAAATGATGTTGCTTGGCTGAGGCACAGAAAAGAAAAACAGCCCTTGACAAGGCTCAGTCTTCTGGACCCCACACCTGATATTTAGATGTCTTGTTTTCTATATAGTCAATCAGCACAAGAACAGGGCATTAGGGATCCGGTCTTCTGGATTCATTCCTCACTCTGCTACTGATTTGCTGTGTGACACTGGCATGGCCCTTATGGACAGATTCAGCAATTCTGACCCGGGTACCAGTCTACCACTGTTCCCACTGACCCCAGACAAACTCGGCCAGGATATCCCCTCCACCCCACTTTCTCTTCTCCTTTCCCAAGACAAGCATCTTATGAGGCATAATTGGCCGGCCCATGTGAACAGCTCCTTAGCATTATAAAGGCAAACTATTACTTGCCAGCACTTCCCTGCCTTTCTGTTTTGTGGTGGGTAGATTCATAACATAACATTCCTAACTGTCTGTTAGGATTTTCCAAGATACAAGACATGGGAATTTGAAACACAGGCCAATCAGACTTCCCAGCCGACTGGGAAATCTACGTGCAGAAGATTTGATCTGTACATAGACATTTCCCCCTCGAAACCAGCTGGTTTGGCAGCTACCAGTGGTCATAAACTACCGGAGAGGGTGGGCTCGAGATTCAGATCCAGTTCCCAGCACAAATACCCTCACTGAGATGGGTGGGAGATGGACCAGGCCCTCATTGTGCAAGAGCCTTTTGAAACATGCCCTGAGTTCAGCAGGAGATGAGGATGTTCCCCCTCTAGGGACAAAAGTGACAGACAAGGGCTATACCAGATATGTCAGTTTTAATGGACTGGAAACTAGAGAGGCCACAACAAGGAGACAAAATGAGTGTCTGCCTGTCTCTTAGAGGCACACCTTCCATGCAGAGTCAAAGCAGAACTGTCTGCCTTGTCAACACTGATTAGGAGCTGCATCTTCACTACTTGTTGGTTCTCCGTGGAAGGAGAAATAACAGCATAGTGATTGCAACTGGAATTACCATAAACTCTCAGCCATTAAACCAGTCATGTGGGCTACTGGGGTCCCTCAGTCTGAGCAGCCACACACCAAGCAGCCCATCAAACAAATCCAGCTAGCAACAAGCGGCCGTTTTGAAAGGCATGGACAAACCTGCAAAGACCTGGGAATAAGCCTGTGTGGTTCACAGACTTCTTTAGAATGCCTTGTTCCAACAAGACTGGCTCTCTCATGACATATCTCCCCATCTTTCTTCCAGATCTGACTTGTGCTTTTACACCGCATCTCTCACTGGCAAAAACTGGAAATGGGAAATATGTATTAGACATTCTTGTGGCTCTTAAATGTTCCATGTATGTCTGACACACAAATGTTTAAATATGAACCTGATGGAACACAATAGCCAGAAACTGGAAGAGGGAGCTGTGGTTTCAGTGTTTTCGTATCAAAATGGGAAATCAGATAAAAATTATGACAGACAGATTTAAAATGAGTTGAAGCAAACTGCATAGTTCTTGACAGGCTCTTTTATAGTAGCCTGTATTATTCGCTAGGCGGATAAGGAACACGGCCACAGATTTGATCGGTAGATCTCAATCCAACGTATGCTACGCTGGACTGATTGAAAAGGTAGAGGAGATTATTTCACAAATTGAGGTTCAACCAAGCTCTACATTTAACTGTAATCTCTGCATGCTGAGATTAATAGAACATCACTCGGCGACTGAGAAAGCAAGTTATGATGAAGAAGCTGTTGAAACAGGAAACAATTGATTTCCCTGGAGACCTGTAAATCCACCTCTGATGTTCTTTCAAATTCTCTGTTATTGCTGTAAAAATTTTAAACACTAGTAAGAGGGTGACCATTTACCCCGAGACAGGACTGTTGGATTCTGGGGTTGGGTTTGCAAACTTATTCAGTGTGCTTAGCAGATACAGAAAAAAATTGCGTGGACCTCCTTAGAGTGCCTCCGGAATGCATGAGGTCACTCTTCAAAACACTTACAGTCAAGTGAGAGCCTCCCTGCCTTTATTTTTCCTTCGCTTCCCCACTTATTATGCTCCTGCCCTCACACATCATTCTCTTTCCTCCAGAATGTCATTTCAGGGGTGGGGGGGTCATTGCCCCATGTCCCGTATCCGGGAAGATTGTGAGCCCTGTGGTAAAGAGCTTGCAAGTCCGTCCTGCCGTACACATTCCTTTTAACAGTCTAGTGACAGCATGTCATAAATCCTGACCAGGCCTGCAGCAATCTGGCCAAGGGGACTTTAATACCAGAGGATTTATTTTATTTTATTATGTTTATTTTAAGTCAACTAATTTTATACTAAATTAGGTCTGATGGAGGGCTGGGTATTTTGCCAGCATTTAAATTGAGCCACACAAGGAGAGGAGGCCAGGTACCACCTCAGCATGAGAAATCAGCTCTGGTCACTTAGGAATCATGTCAGGGCAAATCTGGAATCTGAGGAGATCACTGCCCAGAGCAAACCCTTGATTTAAAATATATACTGTATCCTCAGCATTTAGACAGCAAAGCATTTAAATATGATTCTTGGAATAGTTATCAGGGAGGATTTGTGGGTACCCATCAGTGGGTGCCCATCAGACCCCTTGGGGAAGAACAGTTGTATGGCAAAGTGTCTGAGCTGGCATGCAGAGATGGGGGTTCAGTTCTTGGTTGTGTGATCATGAATCAATCACGTCATCTCTGTGCTGCAGTTCTCTACTGGTAAATGAAGATCATGCTGCTTCTTTTGTCTGCACCTAGGGTCCATTTAGACTATATCACGTCAGGACACAAACTGACTCTTCAATTGCATTGGTACAGCACCTACCATCGTAAGACCCCCATCCTGAGTCACCCTCTAAGTAACAACTCCTACAGAACTCGATGAGCAGCGGGTGACAGGTTACATTCTTACAAGAATCACAAAAAGAGGAAGATAATGCCTGCTTCTGCATAAGTCATTTACCAAAAAACTAATTTTCGGGCAAAAACTATCTATAATCTTTACCTGCACTGATATATTACTGATTTCTTAAATATAATATCTTTAAGACTATGCATATGGGACCCTCATTTTTCCTCCAGGTGGGAGAGGAAGAAAGGGCAGGGAGAAGATCGGTCTAAACTAGCATTGTCATGATTGTACATCCCACCCTCAACAAAATATCACCTGTAGTGAAAGAATTTGCCCAGTGGAAACAGAGTGCTTTGCTCTGTAGAAGGGCAGCTTGAAAGCTGTGCATAAACAGGCCTGAATTTCCCCTGTATCCACTAAACTGATAATCTCCCCAGGCAGAACTCGTACAGTAGTAACACCTAGATGTTGAGGTGGCAGCATGAAATATCATCATCACCACTTTCCAAAGCAGAGATCAGGGGACCCGACCCAGGTCACACAGTGGCAGGGCTGCAAAGAGAAGAGACTGAGCTGTTCTTGCCAAGGTAGACAAGTCCTGACCAGGCACTGGTCAATAGTAAATGGCAAGAAACACACAGGGATTCAGTCTCCGTGCTTATAGGCCAGGGGACCTCCTCTACACGAGGGGTATTGGTTGCGAGACATTTATTTTGTTTCTTTTTCTCGTGGTTTTTCACTTGAAGGAGCAGCGGGCGCACACGACAGGGCAGCCATATGCAGTAGCACCATGCAAAAGACAGCTCAAGAAAGCAGGGCAGCTGGCTGGATACTGCCACCCTGGCAGCAAGTGGACGGGAAGGGGAACCTCTGTGGCTTGCCCAGCTTGCTTCCTCCCAACCTGAGATTCAGAGCAGTCTGCAGCGCGCTGCAGGATGTGAGAATCTCCCTACCCAAGTCCCAGAGCAGAGGAACTGCAGCTCAGCAGCACCATGCTCTCCAGACCTTCACTCCAGACAAAATTCAACGTGCAGGGAAGAAAGTAACACGTATTTCGCCTGCCCACTGCAAATGCTTTGGATTCACACAAATTGAGTAAATGAACAGCTTTGCTTCCCAGGCCTTTTCCTGGGGCTCCCTCAGCTGTGCCCACTCGGGGGGTCTTTGGCATGGCCTGAAATTCCAATCCCCGTGCCAGTCACTTAACACTATTAAACACTGCAGCCAGGTTCCCTCCACACCCCTGGAGTTTAGGAATGCAAAACACATTGCAACCAACAGGTTACATTTACCAAATCCTAGCCATGCGTGACCTCACTATGTGAACAGCCGATTCTTATGTTTCTTCATCAAGGAGTTTTTCCCTGCTCCTTTCTCAGCTGTACAGTGTCTCTACATTTTTTTTGGCTTGAGGTCTCTGCCTAATTATCTGTAACCTTCTGTTCGAAGATCGCTGTCCTGGCCTGATAAAAACCAGTAACTTTGAAAGCAAACTGGGTCTTAATTTTCCTTGACAGCCCTTCTTGAAACATGTGGGCAAAGTCCTGGCTTAATTAAATGCACATTCGTATTCCAAACAAATTAAGTACAATTAAGGACTCTGAGTTATGGGTATCTATCACTCGGCGATGTTTTTGTAAAAATTACCACATTTAGATCAAAGGCAGAGGACCCTTTGCTTAATTGCTTCATTAGGGCCCGATGCGATAGGCTTCATAAATACAGGGGCTGATGTCTCTTTGGGAATTGCCCAAAAGACGGCTCTTAAAGTAATTGCTTCCATATTTCTCTCCGTGCAACATTCATGTGCTCACTGATCAAAATGGGTTGGCTCTCAGGAATTCAAGTGAATATGGGTCCCTTGTTATCTTCCAACAGCATGACTGTGGCGTGATTTTCAGAGCTGGGCTAGGTTTGGGTCACTGGCTGTTACTAATCCAGCTTCTATTGTGGGTTTCTACAACTCAGTCATACTGGGTAACACCTGGCCACACATGCCGGACAGGCCCAAAATGCTTGTTTTTAGGTAGCCCTGTCATCCTTCAGATATCAAAGGCTGCAAAGCAAGGCACATGGGTTTGGTTTGTGTTTACTTCTCACAGACAGTGTTTAGGTACCGCAACACTACAGAGAGAAAATGTTACCAGATTTTCTGCTACTTCTATCCCATTGGCACCTCCAGTGGAAGAAGATGAAGGAGTTCCACTTTTGGGGTTACCTATGGTTGGTTTAGTTGAATTGGCCCTTTTGTTGTTATTTTTTTGACCCACCCAAACTCTTCCGTGGGACATATATTGAGCCAGGACTCAAGCCATAATGGAAGCAAAGAGGGGATGTAAAGGGGATGTTTATCCCTGTTTAAATTAAAGTGATTAATTGCATAAATACAGTGAGGATACTGAAAAGGAAGGGTCAGTCTCCCCTGCTAAATGCAAACACAACTAAGGAAAGATAATTATCATAGGGAATCTGGGACAAAACCATTTTTAAAGGGTCATTAAGAATAGCATATTTATCAGTGCAGTAGAAGTGTTTACTTAAGGCCTTTACCCAGAAAGAAAAACCTTTCCATTTTTTGCATTTTGAGAATTCCTGAAGAGCACATCCAGTCAAGTGCCTTCTGTTTTGCCCTTAGAAGGATGATGCAAATGTCAGAGGTTTCGTGTCATTAAGGTGTAAGCAGTTGCTGGGAGTTTGTGGCTGAAGCCCAGACAAACTCTAGATGAATTTTTAACAAGATTGAGCTCTATGTAAACCTGTAACCTGGTAGCCCCTTAAGCCAGTGATTGTTTATTATTGCAATGCATTACATCAGCAAATACACTGGGAATATTAAAAAAGGGTCTCTGGAATTTGAGAACACAGATAAAACAGGCTTAATAGAAAAAGGAGGGAAAGAACTGGTCTCTTACAACTAAAAGCACTGGTTGGGGTACTAAGGTGGGCTTTGGTGACAGCATTTTAAGAATTAGGGGGATCAGTGTTTTCTTATCAACAGAGTAGAACTGACTGCCTGTCTTAAAATGATGATGACCTCATTTTAATTTCTTGTTGGACTTTGTGAATGACCGAGAGCATATTTTATTAATCTGATTTAGTTCAAAAGCACCCTGGATGCAGAGACTGGTTTCCTTCCTCCTTCTTTTTGTATGTTGTGTTCATTATCTTGTCCTAGATGACACTACCAGGAGGGGGGCAGACTTTCATCTGCTCAAACCAAAATAGTTTCAGTGCGTCCAGCAACACAGACATGGCCGCTAGCTAGATCGCAGAGGTGGTTGGAAAATGTTAAGAATTTTCACTACAATCTTTGGATTTTTGATTTTTTCTGTAATATTCCTTTCTTTTCCTAACCCCCCCAAAAATGAAGCCTCCAAATTTCTCAGTGTTCAGATTTCCTATTGCAGTCTTCCTTTCTTTTCTTTCTCTTCTCCT